GTCGGAGGAAAATACAGATAGTTAAATATTTCCACTTTAAATTTAATTCGTTCAGCTAAATGTATCCAACGAAATCTTACAATTTCTTGATCCTGAATATAAAGGTGTGCTTGGTCCTTCAATATCTCACACGGTTGCCGTGTTACTGTTAAACGAAGCGAATATACACCTATAACGTCGCGCTTGGAGATAGTATTTCTTCGCGATATACACTCAACGTACCGGTACGATACTCGTACTCTAAGTGGAGGTCGATTCTGGTATGCATTCTGGTCATCGGCGTCGAATTTTCGAAACACGATGGTGGGGCAAATACAGATAATTAATTATACCGACTTGCAAAATAATTCCTACAACTAAATGTGACCATCGAAATCTAACCTCTTTTTGGTACCGAATACAAGGGTCTGGATTGTTTTTTTAATAGCTCAAGCTGTTGCCGTGATACTGCAAAACGAAGCGAATATACACCTAAACGACGCGCTTGGAGAAAGTATTCCTTCGCGTTTTTCACGTAACGCACCGGTACGATACTCGTACTCCAAATGGAGTACGATTCTCCTGTGCAATCTGGACTTCGGCGTCGAATTTTCGAACTACAATGTGTGGGAAAATACAGATTATTATATATTTCGACGTTAAAAATAATTTCTAAAACTAAATGTGACCAACGAAACCTTAGCCTTTTTTAATAACGAATTCAAATGTGTGCTTGGTTCTTCAATATCTCACACGGTTGCATTGTTCCTGTTAAAAGAAGGGAGTATTATCCTATAAAGTCGGCTAGGCGATAGAAGGTCTTCGAGACTTTGATATAACATACTGCGCCAAAAGTCGTACTCGAAATGGAGTACGATTCTGCTGTTTTCTGGACGACGGCGTCGAATTTTGTACTACGATGGTGGGGGCAAATACAGATAACTAAATATTTCGACTTTAACAATATTCCCTACAAATAAATGTTGCCAACGACATCTTACCTTATTTTGATACTGAATACAAAGTTGTGCTTGGTTCTTCAATATCTCACACGGTTGCAGTGTTACTGTTAAACCAAGGGAATTTACACCTGTAACGTCGGCTAGGCTATAGTAGTTCTTCGCGACTTTCACATAACTTACGGCGGCGATAATAGTACTCTAAATGGTTTTTGATTCTGCTATGCATTCTAGACGTCGGCGTCGAATTTTCAAACTACGATGTTGTAGGAAAATACAGAAAATTAAATATTTCGACATTAATAATAATTCCTAAAACTAAATGTGACCAACGAAGTCTTACCATTTTTTGATACCGAATACGAAGGTGTGGATTCTTTTTTCAATAGCTCAAACGGTTTCCGTGTTACTGTTAAACGAAGCGAATATAGACATTTAACGTCACGCTTAGAGATATTATTTCTTCGCGATTTTCACGTAACGTACCGGTACGGATCTCGTACTCTAAATGTAGTACATTTCTGCTATACAGTCTGGACATCGGCGCCGAATTTTCGAACTACGATAGTGGGGGCAAATACAGATAATTAAATATTTCGACTTTAAATATAATTCCTTCAGCTAAAAATATACAATAAATCTTACCATTTTTTGATACCGAATACAAAGGTGTGCTTTGGTATTCAAACCTCAAACGGAGCCGAAGTTACTGCTAAACGAAGCGAATATACACATATAACGTCGCACAAGGTTATAGTAGTTCTTCGAGAACTTCGCATATCACACTGGGACGATTCGCGTCCTTTAAATGGCGTACGGTTCTGCTATGCATTCTGGACATTGGCGTCGAATTTTCGAACGACGATTGTGGGGCAAATACAGTTTATTAATTATTTCGACGTTAATAATAATTCCTAAAGCTAAATGTGACCAAAGAAATCTTACCATTTTTTGATACCGAATACAAAGGTGTGCTTGGTTCTTTAATATATCACACGGTTGCCGTGTTACTGTTGAACGAAGCGAATGTACACCTATAACGTCGGATAGGCGATAGTAGTTCTTCGCGACATGAACATAACTTAATGCTGCGATATTCGTACTCTAATGGTGTTTGATTACGCTATGCATTCTGGACGTGGCGCCGAATTTTCGAACTGCGATGTGTGGGAAAATACAGACTATTAAATATTTCGACTATAAATATAATTCCTTCAGCTAAATGTATCCAACGAAATCTTACAATTTTTTGATCCCAAATTTATAGGTGTGCTTTGTTCTTCAATATCTTAACCGGTAGCTGTGTTACTGTTAAACGAAGCGAATATACACCTATAACGTCTCGCTTGGAGATAGTATTTCTTCGCGATTTTCACGTAACGTACCGGTACGATACCCGTACTCTAATTGGAGTACATTTCTGGTGTTCATTCTGGACACCGGCGTCGAATTTT